CAAAAAAGTCGGTGGTAATGGCAAATGGGGACTGGAGGCTGAGGTCGGAATGAGCCGCAAGACGTTCTTTTGGTTCGAGCTGGCGCTGCGGCTGTTCCCGAATGCGAGCTACATCGCGAAGCAGAAACCAACGATGAAACGGAGCTTAGCTTTACCCGCGCACTCCCTACAGAATAATATCTAACAGGGCCCCAGTACAGCCCTCTGCGCGGCAGCGTGCGCAGGTCGGCGAGGTACTGCGGCACGCGCAGGAACATGTCGTCGTCTCCCATGACGCTGGCGAGGGATGTTGTATGGAAGTTTGTGTCGTATAGGCCTCTGCAGCGCTTAGCCCGACTGCCCTACACCAGTCAGCGACTGCTGGAGTACCAGGCGTTGAATATGAACAGCGAAGACATTATGGTGGGTCGCGTGCTGTACGAGGTGCGTTATTCAAACCTGTACATTGTAACTGAAGGTGTGTGCCGATTTCACGACATTCATAAAGGGGAAAAGCTGTCGAATGTGAAGCCAATCTCCGTTGCTGTGCACCATGTGCTTGAGGGGGACTACGCACAGCTGATGGAGCGCTTTGGTGACGACATTGCACCTATTGCTCAGAGGTTCGCGCGTGTTCGTGAACGCTACCTAACATTTCCTTGTAAACAGTGGTTGCATGAGAGGTTGATATATTACTCTAGGTTGGTGGCATGACTGACATTGCATTTGTTTGCCATGTTGGCTTTTTGTGTTTTCTGCCAACTTTGAGAATTATTGACATGCTGTTTTTTTTTTTCGTGGTCTTTGGTTGCTTGAGACGTGACATGTGGTTGCTTTCTGGACATATACTCCGTAATTGATGTTTGCTCTCCTTTTTAAGTGTGCGTTTCCATTTTTGTTGCCTTAACATATTTGCGAAGGCTTTTTGCTTCTCTGTGCCAAGCATAACGACCTTTCCTTCTAGTTGTATAGTGTGGTGGATGCCCTCTGCTCTATTTTCTTTCTCTCCTGCTGCCCAGTGTTAGCATGTGCTCTAGTGGTGGTGCCGTTGCAGTGGGACTTTGCCGTTTCTGCAACACTGCATACTTCCTGGCTGGCGGTCGCCGCTGCTGAACTCCCGGCCCCCGCCCCTCACTCCCAGCGTGAAGTTTGGGGTTTCTTGTATGTGGAGCGTCTCAATGGATACTCTGACACAATAACGTCTAAATCTCAACGGGTGCTGTGAAGGAGAGTGCCCACTACGTTGTTATAGGAGGGGTGGATAGCAGCAAGTCTACTTGTGATTGACTGCGCCCTTTTTTTTGTCGCTGATGGTATGTGAGTTGTGAGGGAGAACTCTTGTCCGAAGTACGTGTTGCGCACGCTGATGCTTGTGCCTCTTGGGCACAATGAGACCCGATCATCATGACTGAATAGGCACTGAGGACTTCAATCCGCTTGCTCCGTTGCATCAGCATTACATCTCAGGATGTCCTTAACAGCTTCAGTGTATTCCAGTCACGTTGATTCGGCTTTCGCCTCCCAGCCTTCACCGTAAGCAACGACGGTGGCGAGGACGTGGCATCGGAGTTGTGGGTAACGTCGCTGCGTGATAATCATGGTTTCGAACGCAATCATCTTTATTGGCCTATAGAACTTCTCCCACTGAGTTCTGCGAGCTGACCCATGCTTCACCTTCTGTGAAAGGAGACGTAGCTGATGTAACTAAAAACAGATGGAGGTGTAGCTTCCTCAGCTACATTACACACAACGTTCTTGACACTGTGGAAACACGGTCACTTTCTCATTGTGTTCGGCGTCTCATTGATCTACACGGACGCGAGAGCGAGGTGTCGCTGCGTCGCCGCGGGGTGTATTGGGGGGGTTCCCGTTAACGAAGCTGCGCGAAAAGGTCATGTTACTCATCGGTTTCGTTTCTTTGCGGGAATGCTCTACACACTAGCGAGGGATGTGGTGCAGCAGCTTGTATCGTTTGAGCCTGTGCGACGGCTGGTGC